TAATAGAGAGTATGCAACATTGACCTTGAATGAGCATATAGTATACGACTAGCTTCAAACACGTATCCCATATTCGAGCTGACCCTCCGTCCTCGGTGTTGAAAATATCCTGGCCGATTTTATCTCACGTCCCACCCATTTTGACCTCTCTCATTGTGAACGGGCTGAGCAGCTGTACCAGAAGTTCAGCTTCATGCGAAACTGGAATTCTTTCCGCCCAAGTCTCGCCTTGCTACAGCTCCTCTCTTGGAGTCTATTCTCCAGATCTCCAATGGAGGTACCAAGTATTCCAAGCGAGCTGGGACGGCTCGTTCGCACCAATTGCATTTCATCGGGTTCGCTTATGGTTTAGACTGACCACTCCAGTCCCAATCTCCCCTCCAATTTTGGAGATCAAAGATGCCGATCCCGAAGCCATCCAACTGGCTTTGTGTATGTATGCCGAGCATCTCTGGTCCGACGGCAGTCTGTATTGTCGGCGCATCAAGGGGAGTACTATCAAAACCTATATCCGTAATGCAGCTGCCCTTCTCCTGAAGGCATCCCAGACCTTTTGCGACTACCGCAAAGATTCTCATTTCTCGGAATCCATGGGCCATCATCTGAAATCGATTTATGATAACATCGACAAGTATGAGAAGGCCATCCAGCGGCGCGAAGCTTTCACGCTCCAAATGTTGTACGATGCTATTGCGCGAGCCAAGGTAGCTCCTTTGTCTGACCACATTGACGATGTCTTGGCCGATTGGTATTTTGTTGCTCTTCGCGCTGTACTCCGAAAGGTTGAGTGGGCTCAGCCCGAATCGACCCACATTGACCCTGATTTTCCCTATCGGAACATCTATGGTGATCCTTACGATTTCTGCTTGGGTGATGTCCAAGTAAAGCTTTACAACGGACATCCTGGAAGGTGCCGCTATTCTTGGACTGCTGACAACCCATTGACGTGTCAATGGTGGCTGAACTTTGTCTGTGCTTTCGCCAGCAGAAGTAATGGAGAGAATGGGCAGTGGCGCCTCTTTGTTGCTTTGTTCGGGTACACCCCACCTCTGTAGGTTTGCGCCATGTTCGAATCATGCGGCGCTTTATCCGTCTTCGCAGCCTTGAGGATGTGAAAACCCATTTGTCGGTTGTTTGTCTACAATCGATACGGCCATGTACCATTCAGTTCTATCCCCAGGCTATACTCAAGTCTATGCGTGCCTATTGCTGCATCTCAGTTTGGGTTTTCCCCAAGCAAAGATAAGACGAAACTTCGTCGTTGGAGTTCCCACTCTCTCCGAGTGGGCGCTTGCGTGCTTCTCTTCGAAGCCGGTTACAACGAGATCCAAATCCAATGGCTCTTGCGCTGGAAATCCAACGCCTTTATGGATTACTTGCGCAATACTCTGGGCCTGGCTCGTCGCCACGCCGATATTCTGCGCCAGAAGACATTTGGTCCTGGCGACTCTATGCCTGACCTAATGTCGTTCGCTGGCAATCATCCCCCCACTGCTATTGCAGTGGTCTAAACAACTAGCTATGCATTATTCCCCTTTCGTGTGCAAAGCTTTGACTCCGTGGGTTTTCCCCTCTAGAGCTAGGTGGTTTCTCCCACTCCAGCCGTCCGCTGACTCAGTTGACATGGGGCTTCCGGCAGCTGTGTCTACGACACGCTGCTGTCGTCAGCTGGACATGGGCTACTCAGTTCAATGTCGGTTTCCAACGGTTTTTGGCTAGGTTGCACCAGATTGCACCTTCCAACGGTTTGGATCCCAACGGTTTTTGATTGGTGCACTAGACAGACACCGTTTCCCAAACCTAGCACTATCGTTTCGACACTGCACACACAGGTGTATTTAGTCTGTCCCTAAATAGTCTCTAGTGAACTGCCCACTGTCATCCGGAGTGCGGACGGCTGAGGGGTGGCTGGGAGTCGAGGAAGACTCCTATCGCCATGACTCGCTCTAAGAGAGCAATGTGGAAGCACGCTTGCTCCTGCCTGGACTGGTACGTAACGTAGATAGGGTTAGGGTTATCAGTGAACAGTCGAGCAGGAGCCAATCCAAAGCCAACATTGCATAGTAGCCACCAATCGATCGAAGTAGGACAATGGGTGTCCTTTGCTTTTTAATGGGCTACTCAGTTTCAATGTCGGTTTCAACGGATTTTGGCTAGGTGCACGCAGATTTGCACCTTCCAACGAGGTTTTGGATCCCAACGGTTTTGGATTGGTGCACTAGATAGCACCGTTTCCCAAACTCTAGCACTATCGTTTCGACACTGCACACACAGGTGTATTTAGTCGTCCCTAAATAGTCCTAGTGAACTGCCCATGTCATCCGGAGTGCGGACGGCTATTATTTTAAATTTTAAATAATACGATGCGTGGATCGGATTTCAATCGGGTCTCTCAGAGCTTTAAAGCCTTAAAGACATTAAGTCACTCAGTCATGGAGAAGCCTGATAATCATGTAAGTCAGTACCGTACCGGCTCTGGTATCTGGAATGTACTGGTACCGTACTAGAGTACTAGTACTATCATACCGTAGAGAACTCCGTAGTGTACGTGTAGGATCGTCCAAAGAAGAGCGAAGTTTGAATGAATCAGATGCAAATTGTAGTTCAGCTGGCTTACAGTATGTAACTGGAACAATAAAATAAGTACCCAAGCAATTAACCAATGCTGGGTCCGCACCTGGCAACTTGCTCTTCCTTCCAAGAAGGATGAAGATCATGACGACACAGTAAACTTGTGCAAGACCCTTCAAAACCACATCAAAGCAATGAATATCTTCTATGTCACTTGCTTGGTGGTTTTCGTTGCCTCCATTCGTACCTGTGCTGCCACCACAGGCCATCCAGCCGACGTTCCCCTCAAAGCACCTCCAGGTACCGGTATTGGCGTCGAGGAGATCGATCAAACGGAATCGTCCAAATCGGCAGGGCTTTCTTACAATTCTACTTCTGAAGAAAGTAGCCTCCTTCTAGAACAGATAATCCCTGCCCTTCTGGAGTGGATCCACGGCATTGGCGGTTTGGTTCATCCCGGCATTGAGGTTCGACCACGCGACACCAATGACGGTGAGAACAATGTGGGTATCTTTGCCACAGAATTCATCCCAAAAGGAACCAACTTGGTGACGCTTCCACGACTACCCTTATTCTCGTCCTTTGACGAAGAAGACTGTTATAGGCAACAACAAGCGCAGCGGCTCCATCGTGAGCTAAAACGGCGCAACTCGCAATATGGCCCATACTTGCAATACTTGCTCCACATTAATGCAAAGCCTCAGAAGGATCGTTTGCCCACGGCTCTCTGGTCTCCAGCCGGACAACTACTGCTGGAGCAGCTCCTTGTCCGAAACAAGACCGAAACAGTTGCCGCGGGGGGCATGAACATCGATCTGCCTCCTAACGACTACTCGCGTGGTTCTCTGAGCGAGCTCTTTCACGACGAAGATTGCGGTGTCGACGAAAACGAAATGGAAGATGCAGAGGTCCATGCATTCCTCTTGTATCACCAAAGCAGTTGGGGCGGTGGTGTGGTTCCCCTCTATGACATGCTGCTCCATCGAAACAACAGGTTGGGCAACACGGCAGTGTATGAAGATGCTGGCGACAATCAAGTTGTCATACGAAGCACCCGAAACATTTGGAAAGGTGAAGAGCTCTTTGGGTCTCATTACAACCACAACCACGATAACTACGGAACGCCAGACATCTTTCGAGACCATGGATTTGTGGAAGACTTACCTCAAAGATTCTTCTTTTATGAAACGGACTTGGCATTTGAACTGGATCATCAAAGCAGCAGTGACGATGCAAGAAACAAGGCCAACACGACGAAGAAGTCCGGTGAGGGGCTAACAGTCAAGTGGCTCACAATGAAGCCCTATGATGAAGACATGGAGTTCCTGGCTAGGCAACTACGGAGACTTCAACGGTTTCACACCAACACCAAAACCCAGACTCTAGTATCGAGTTTGCCTCCCATCGAGCAACAATTGTTGAGACAGTACCATCAAAGTCTCGTCACCGCCATTCAAGCTGCCATGGATGCCAGCAACGACAATAGTGGGTGCATCCTAGCAGATGGCTCATGCCTGGAATACGATGCGCTAGAAGAAACAGCTGACACATTGGATTATCGTGCTCCCACGTGCAATGCTCAAGAGATCCTGCAGTTTTCAGACTACAATGACGTTGACATCATTCGGACATCACACCAGAATGCCACATTTTTCAGAAACAAGGACTCTGGTGACACCTGTTTTGATCTGGATAGGACTGTGCAGGTGTGTGATTCGTATCGCCCACACTATCACGAAACTGCTGTCCACTACACGGCACGGTACCTGGACAAGATGGAGCGGGTTTTGTTTGTGGGAGGCGGTGATTCGATGTTGCTCCATGAGATTCTCAAGTATGAAACTATTCAAAAAGTGGTGGGCCTGGAGTTAGATCAGCAAGTAACCCGCTACTCCTTCAAGCACTTTGGAACTCAGCCTCATTTCGACAATCCAAGAGTAGAATGGTGGTTTGGTGACGCATCCAAGAGCCTTACTATGCTTCCACGGAGTTACTTTGGGTCCTTTGATCTAGTCATTGTGGATCTCTCCGAAACAGTCATGTCCTTTGCAGTCACTAGCGACTTGGACATGCTAGGGGCGCTGGCCCTCCTGCTGAATCCAAGGGGGATCCTCGTCAAGAACGAAGTGTACCTGGATTGCTTGAGCAGTATCTTTGGCTACACGATGCAGGCTGTGGTGTACGACGCTCCTGTAGTTTGCCACCAAGTTATGGTGTATGGCAGCTACGAAAATGACTTTCTTCTTCACAGTGAGCCCAAAAGCGCTGATGTCGAAACTCTGCTGCTACAACACCGTGAAGACATGCAATCGCGGTATGGGATCTGGCACGACTACAGAAAGAATGTTACTCAGCTGCATCGTTGTGGCGCTCAACCGTCAGCAGTTGAGGACGACAACAAGGAACGAGAAGAAGAGGCAGAGAGGTCCAACAGTCCGGCGGGGGTTATCATGGTTGTGGAAGTCGAGGATGATGCAGTGGTGGAGTACTCGTCAGCTGCTGACCTGCTAGCAATCCTGACGGGCTCACTCATTCGCTCAGGCCTCAAGCCAGTTTCCAGTGTGGTTTCGAACGTCGTGGCAGACAATGTCGTCATGTTGGCTATTGTACTCGAGGAGGGCTATGTCATGGTTCGAGCACTGACCTTGCAAGCATACTGCGCTGTGGACATTCATCTGTGGAATGCCTTTGAAAAACATGACAACATCAGAGAGTCATTGATTGCATCCCTGGGTGGAAATCCGATGGGAAAGACGTCCTCGGCATATCGAATTGTGGCGGGAGGGATGTTTGGTATCAAGACCAGGAGCAAGGATCAACGAAATCTTGGTCCTCCTACGCACAACGACAAGTGCGAATCTGACGAGCCTGATGTGACAGTGGCGGCTTCAGAGGGAGATGGGGCAGCAATGAAATCCCACGGGGCTTCCGTGCTAGGGAATCTCACAAGAGCACTGGTGAACAGCAAGGATGGCACAATCGTAGTTTTTGGCGGGGCACAGGGTGAATCGAACTGCGAAAGCCTTCAGAATCTTGCTGGTCACTATCAAAACGTTGTTGCCATCATGGAATGCCCAGATCTACAGCTGTACGACCCTGAGACTGAGTTTGGCGTCGAGATCATGAGGAACTGCAGTGAAGGTGTCTTGCAAAAGTTGGTTGAAATAATTCGAGTTAAGAACACAACCATCGAGGCTATCATTTTGGACTCGACTGCTCCCTATCAAATGGGGCAGGTCGTTGCGAAGGTTTTCTCAGATCCAACTTCAAGGGAGTTGCTAATGAAGAACGATGCGTTCACCATCTTGAGCCTTGCGAATAACGAAAAGGGCGCCTGGAGACGAGCGCTTTTGGATCGCTTCAGGAGAGACATTATCGTAAAAGACCCCGTGTTTCGTTCTGACATCCTTTTCCAAGCGAATGCAAAACTGCTCCTCAGCGGATTGCAGTTGGGCGTGACAACATCTGGGCGTCCAGACTTTATTGACACACTGAAAGATGCAGTTGATAGGATCGAGGCAACAACGCCTGGTCTTACAGGTGATATCCGTACCATAACAGGAGGAACGTTTCAATTTCAGGCTAACTATGAACCCGAGTTCTTCAACCCAAGAGATTACAATCAAACTGGCCCTCTGGAGCAATGGCTGTCTCAAGAACCCATGGGCTTTCAAACGATATTCCAACTGGAGAGAAAGGACTGGACGGATATGGTCCAAGTTGGTGACAGAATCGAAGTCTTCTATGAAGATGACGATTTTTGGGACCCAGGCTATGTGACACATATCCACGAAGCTGGGAGATTTGATGTGAATCTGGACGATGGCACCTCCGAGACAAGAGTTTCACCCAAGTATCTGCGACCAGTGAATGTTGCTACGATCTCGTCGGACAACGTAGTGGATGCATTGAACTTCGCCTTGAATTGGATTCTCTACGACAGAGACAATGGAGAGGAATCCTATCAAATTCAGGAGTTCACTGACTTTCCCGGTGAAGGCTGTGTTGTGGTCGGGTATTGGCCAGGAGGAAGTGCCACAATTCTCTGGGATGGAAGGGATCACATTGATGCAAACTTGTTCACTTTCAATGAGAACTTGCGACAGGCAAATGATTTTAAAGAGAATCTTCTGGCCAGGATATCTGGTTGGAAATCGGTTCTTCGAGACCAACAACCTAGAGGAGTTGGAAGAATCATCAACTTTGAAAGGGACCTTCACACAGGCACCTCAGATGACGACGATGAATTGGAGCTTCCACGCTGGGCACGACTGTAACTGGATTTCCCTTGACGGCTCATGGCTCAGCCCAGCACTGCATTTCTCTTCATGGCTTGTCTAGCCCCAGCTTTGATTTCCCACCTGGCTCGCTACCGGTGACCCAGTTTTGGTTTTCCCACAGTGACTCACCTGGCTTGCAACACTGCCATCCCTACAACACCACGGGTCCCAGTACTAATCAGGCAGAGAATTCTAAAGATGAAGCAATGATACGATTGTGAATTCTTATAACGTAATAGCTAGCTAGTATTAAAAATTCACAATCGTCTTGTTTTGTGTGCAATGACATAATCGATAAGGTCGCACGGATGGAGTGGCGATGAACTGATTGTCGAGATGCCACTTTGTTCCCCCCATTCTTTGTAGCTTCGCTCAGCCACTATCAAACTAGCTAGTTAGCTAATTCTTTGCCATTTTCATCCAGAGTTTGTCTTGTCTCATTGGCACTGTGACGACACAGTAACTATTATCTCCTGGTCGCTTGTCTTGTATTGCTTCATACATCCAGGACGAATTGATGAGCTTGCTGAAGAAGGCTCGACTGGGATAGTAGACTGCCGCCAGCATGGCATAGGACCCATCCTTGGAAGAATCGGCTGGTTCCAACAGCCCCGTGTGCATGGGCCCTCCATCATGATAGGCGATCATTTGTAGAAATTTGTGTCTGTACTTGCGATCCTTTTCTTCATCCTCGGGGCTCATGGTCCCCTTTTGCACAAAGTTCCAAACATAGGCCGGTTCATCTTCGGGCTCCTTTTCATCGTTCCTTAGTAGCATAAGTTTGGCCATTTTTTGCATCTTGGCAGCTTGTGGATCTACCACACATTCTTGTTCATCCTCTTCTTGTTTATGGATGCTTTTGTTGTCTTTGTTTTCCTCTGTGTTGTCATTTTCATTCTTATTTTCGTCATTGTCTGTTTCGTTGTTGTCGTCTGTTTTTGCAATTTCTTCTGTGCTTCTACTGATGCCGCCACTTCCACTGTCATTGTCACTGATACTATCCATGATTGGCACCGGTGACATGGGCTCAAATGTGTATTCGAACCCGGTGATGGCAGCGTAAATGTTCATGAAAAAGGGCAGAAATCCATGAACCACCATGGCCATGACAACGGCTTTTACCGAGTGTCCACTGTCGACCATTTTTTGTGCCTGATGCACGGTCCACGTCTTTTGTTGATCGATTTCGGATCGAAAGTTGGAAAATCCAAAGGAGGGCGACATGAGTGGATGTGGTCGTTTCCAGTACGTCACAAGGACCAAATCGCAATCGGCGGAATCAAACTGTTTGGATTCAACGGCCACAGCAAAACATTTCCCCAAGTACCCCACTTGTCCGTGGTGTCGTCGGACAATTTTCAAGAGTGCCGCCGCCTTGAGATCCACATGCGTGGGCGATGAGCTCTTGAGAATGGACACATACGTGACTGTCGCCTTGGCTTTGGCGTCGAATCGATAGAGAGGAATGGAGTCTTGCAGAGCGACGCCTTTTTCGATGCGATTTTGAACGGATCGAGCACAGAGAGACCCAAACATTGCCAGGGACATCAAGATGATCTTTTTCGTCCAGTTCATGATGGTAAACAATATATCTAGCTAGCTAGCTAGAGCATTGGGAGTTGAGAGAGGTGATGTGTGCCGTTCCTGGATCCTGGAGATGGGCTTCATTTTTCTGGGGGAAATCCGATTTATCTCTAATCTCTAACTCTACTGCAGACATTGTTGCACCAAACGCGGTTTTTTGAGGCACGAGGAGCAGCAGGAAACTTTCTGGCAAAGACCCGAACAGCTTGGTTCATGTCCGTCAAAAGCATTGTTCATCGTTGATTGTTGTTGTTGTTGTTGTTGTTGTTGTTGTTGATGGAGGTGCCTAACCCATTCTTGCACAGCACCATATAAGAGATCACATCATCGGTATCATCATGAAGGTTGTTACCATGATCATAGTCATGGTAGTTGCCCCCGCCACGGTTGCTGCAATGGCTTGGTTTTACACCGACGATAGTAGCGGAGACGGAGGCAAGGGAGATTCTCCGTCTTTTCCCATTTCGGACTGTGATGATGTTGACACGGACTTGGCGCTGCGGAGGAGGGATCCTGCCATCCACAACCTTCCAACCGCATTGCCAACCCAATCGCCCACAACAGCGACAGCAACAATGACACAAAGAAACAGAAGAAAAAGACGAAGAATCAATGAAAATACGACCACGCAACCTCCACCCTCCCGTGCACCGACCGCTTCACCCACCACAATCTCTGTTGTTACCACAACAACAGTCGAGCTCTTTGGAGAAACTTACCACATTGCCAACACCACCGTCATTGATCGCGCTGAAAAGGGTCTAACAGGGACGCTCCCCTCCGAAATTGGTCTATTAACTGCCTTGACCAAAATCCGCCTTTGGGGCAACCACATTAGCGGCAATATCCCTACCGAAATTGTAGCATTGACGGCATTGAAAGATCTCTATCTGGGAGGCAACGATTTGGTGGGGGGCATTCGAACCGAATTGGGATTGATGACCAACTTGGATTGGTTATCGTTGTGGGGGAACACCTTTTTTGGAGAGATTCCATCCGAACTGGGATTGCTGACCCAATTGACCATGTTGGACATTTACAACAATCAGCTGTCGGGGCATGTACCCAGCAATCTCTGTGACAACACGGCATTGGCCATAATACGAGTCGATTGCCACCCGGAACAATTTGCAGTACAATGTGTGTGCCAGGAATGTAGCTGTCACTGAAAAGTAAATGGCGGTGGTAAATGAAATGCTAAATTATTGAGAAACAAGCTTGTGTGCTTCCAGGAGCCACCTTCATACAGCACCGGAGTCAATGGAGGTACCGTAGTTGGTTGGTATGTCGTCACAGAAGCAAAGGGGGCTGTGATTTGATCAGTGTCGACCAGATCCACCAGCCAGACTTGCCAGAACGACTACGGAAGTACAGCTATAGAACAACTCAACACAGTCGCAACTAACATTCTCTATGGAAAGATGGGCAACTATGCTGCACATTGTAAACTACAAAATACTAGTAATACAGTAGTCGTAGCCCATTTCCTAAACCTACAATGTCACGGTCTATCAAAAAGTCTTCACATTCCCACAACACAAAGCACAATAACAAAAACACAAACCAATTTGGTGCTTCACCAATACCACCTGGTAGCGCACAAACTTCAAAACTCTCGTTGTACCATCCAGAGCTGCTCTCGCAACAGACCATTCTCTATTTGCAGGGACGCCGAGTGCTCTTCTAGCTGTACCATCTCTTGAATGACTTGTTCTACACGACGGGTCACTGGCCTCAATTGCTTCTGTGCCTGGATTTCACGATCATAAGCCTCTTGGAGTTTCTGTTGTAGGAGCTCTACTTGATGCTGCGATGCATTTCCTTCGTTGATCTTCACTTCCAGCACATTTCGCAACTGCAGCACTTGCTTCCGATACGATTCCGCAACTTCCGCCGTTCCACGAAGTTGGTCTTGCAGACGTGTCCATTCAGCAACGGATACAACCTTCTTAGCTTCAATCTCTTCCTCCTTGCCTCCTTCCTCGATGGCAGCATCGAACGGGTTTACAATTGCCCGTGGAGGCGAACCGTTTGTCCTGGTGTTGGACATCGGTGAAGGAGGAGCGCTGCCGGTACGTACTCGCGAAGGCGATGAAGTCGTGGCTGGTTGCACCACAATTTGCTCCCGTCGGGACTCGAGCGTCTGGCTTACCATTGCTACTTGTGTTCGAATCACTTCTTCTAGTTGAGTAATGCGCTCCGTCAGCACTTTGTCAATGTACTCTGCAAACTGATGGCTGTCTTCGATGCTTTCTTGAACATTTGTTTGAAGGCTCTCATTCGATGCTGTCAGTGTTTCATTGGAAGAACGAAGATTGTCAGTTGATAATGCCATTTCTCGGCTGGCGGTGGAAACGACGTCTTGCCACTTCTGCATCTGAGCCTTCATTTCGTCGATTTGTTCGATTATGAGGACACTACCCACCAGCGGGGCTTCCTGCTTGGTTTCGCCGGTTCCCATGTTCCGTTCGACAGCTGGTGCTATCCGGGCTGCGACGGGACTTGCCGTAGCAGCCCATTCCTTCATTTCCCTGTCCGGCGTGCCCGCTTTCTTTTCTTCTTCGTTGTGGAATTCAGGAGGCTGTCTTTTTCGTGACGGATGTTTCGTCAAGTTCTCTGGTTTGCATGCACCCTCTTCTTCTACTGCTTCAGCCTCGTGCGGAAAAGATCGCGGTGGGCTGCCCTTTCCAGGAGACTTCCGGGGTGAATTGACGGTAATCACTTTCCAGAGATCGTCAGGATCTGAATCGGCAGTACTAGTCGCCATTGGCGCTCCCTGAAAGTCAAATGCATCGTCCACCGGCATTCCCTTCTGAACTATTGGAGACAAGAAGGGCGGTGACCTTGCGGTATTCACAACCCTGCTTTCGGAAGTCACGGATTCGCCTTCGTGGTTGCTTTCTCCCTGTTGGTCATCAACCCGTTGGTCTTCCAAAAGCGAATGGCCCGACTCCTTTCCAAGAATGGTCGACGTTGAATGTACTCCCACGCTCGATCCTTCGTCCGCCGGGTTCGTGGCTTCAAAGTGCTCTGCCAAACTTAGTTGGCTAGCGTTCGACTCACGTACATGGGACGTAGATGGCGACTGTTGATGCCTGGAGACAGGGATTGGAGCAATGCTGTCGAAATCTTCGTCAACTTGTCTGAAGCTATCTGTAGTCATATGTTCACTCGTCTCAACCGGGTCACTCCTGTCTTCTTCCAGATAGACCTCAGATGCGGATTCATCGGAACGTTGGCTGCTGCCGCCGACCTCATTGACAGAATTGTTTTCAACCAACGCCAAAGGCCCTCTAATTAGACGGGGGGTGAACTTCTGGTGGAGCAACCGTCGATATCCACGGATTGCGCGATTGCCTGCTCGTCGTTTCGCCACAGCCTTCGCAATAATGAAAGCACTTTGCTTTGATCGGTCATATTGACTCTGCACACTCAATTCGCTTGGAACCACACTAGATCCACCGTCTCTGTCAGATGCTTGACCCAGCGCAGAACCGCTTTCAGACCCATCCCCTGAAGCCTCATCTGACGTGGCCACACTTTGTCCCCCATCATCGGCATCATCGGCATCATCGTCATCGCCCTCAGATTTTACCTTCAGAGCCAAGGGACCATCTCGTTGTGCAGTAAAGAAACTTTCCTGGAACTTTTCGTAGCGACGGGTTGCTTTCTGAGCAGTCCTTACTCTGGACATTGCATGGGCAAGTACAGAAAGATGTTGTCGTTCGTGATCCCGGAAGTACTCTTCGTCTTCGCGGCTGCTGTCGCTGTCGTGTCCACTGGCAACAGAAATCTGAACAGATTCACCATCAACGCTCACGGACAAAAGGTCGTCCTTGTCTTCCTCCTTTCCTGATGGGTCATCCTTTTTGACGGAATCACCATCGATGCTCACAGACAAGTGGTCGTCCTCCTCTTCTTCACCAGCAGACTCCTCGTCCTTTTTCACAGAATCACCGTCAATGCTTACAGACAATTGGTCGCTTTCGTCATCGGAAGCATCGGTCGGAATGGCTGACTCGCCCGCCGCGTCCGCCGCGTCCACAAATGCTCGTGTTTCGTCAACGCCATCAATGCTTAGATTGTCGTAAAGATCCTCTGACTGCACCGATGCAAACGACCGTTCGTGTGCGCTGCTGCGACCAACGTCAGATTCCATGTAATCTCCAACGTCAATGTCGAGGTCGTCGTAACTGAACACGGATGGTTGTTCTGAAACGGTGCTATGTTGTGTCTGTGCGACCTCTTCATCGATGTCAACGTCTCCGTCCTCACTGCTGTGTTCATCGATGTCAACGTCCTCATACATGCTGCTATGCTGTGCTCTCTCGGCTTCATCATCGTTTTCAGCTCCTTCATAGACAAGGCTATGCTGTGTTCTTGCGGCTTCGTCGTCGATTTCAGCATCTCCGTAGATTGCGCGGGTTGACACAACCCGACCCGCCGGCGACGGCGGCGTATCTTTCTTCCTAAGCTGTGCTGAATTGACCGATCGCATTGACTCCAGCCTATCGACAGGTGATGGAGGCCTATCCTTCTTTCTGGATGCGGACCGTGCTACCAACGACGGCGCTCTGTCCTTCCGACCCTCAGGCTCGCGAAACTCGCGTCCAGTGTCCGCTTTTTCTTCTTCGTCATCATCAAGAGGCACGTCATCCAGAGGAATATCATCAAATGGTACATCATGAAACGTCCCGTCATCAGGTTGACTACTGGTCATTGTCCTCACAGAAATGCTTCTTTTCGCCATCACCGGAGGTGTATCTTGACCAATGTTGGTCATGCTGATGACTGGCGCGCTTTGGTGTAGGTGGGACATGCTGCCGGCAGTAGCATGGTCGCTATTGTTAATGTCGATATCCATACCCGTGTCTCCATAAATGTGTCTCACCGACAAGGACCTTGCAGTGACATCCGAGTGGCTCGAATCATTTCTTGTCGCTACATCCGACCCCTGACTGGACTCGTCATCTTCTTCTTCGATAGTCTCAATGTTGCACATGTCACGGAGAGACTTGCCACGCCCCGACACAGCAAAGATATCGCGTACATCAGGGGTATTTTCCTCGGCGGCGATTGTGTCGTCGTCAATATCAATGTCTCCGTAGATATCACGAATGGAGGATTGTCGGTCCAAGGCGACAAGATCCATTCCCAAGGAGCGTCCACGCCTGCCTTCAGACGATGACGAATGAGACGAGGTGTTTGGCATTTGGTATTGTCCGTCTTCATCTTCGTCCTCGTCACCATAGATTGTCGGATAAGACGATGTTGCGACGGATTCGTCGCCTGCAACAATGTTGTCGAGACTGCTGACGCTATCGTCGTTGGAGTTGCCGCTGTTGTTGTTGCCGTTCTTATTATTATTGGAAGACGGTCGAGGCAAGGATGCGATGGCTTCGACAATTTGACTCAACAAGTCCTGATTCAGTCGCTCCTGTACAGCCTTGGTACTGCTCTCCGTTTCCGTGGCAGTCAACTGCACCAACGATTCCATGGTATCCATGCGTTTGTCGAGGATCGATCGCAGCTGCGCCAGGACCACAGCCATGGGAATGGGAGGAGTCTTCCCAGCACCGCCAGTGGTCAGTTTCGGCCCCGCCGTCGTCAACAACAATTCCAGTGGAGATGCAATCGATTCGCTCCATTGCTGCTCTTGTTGGTCGATTCGCTTGGAAATTCTCTTGAGCAAATCCTCCAACCCATCAATGCGCTTTTCGACCAACTCTTCCAAGGCTTGCATATCGGGAAACGACGATCGTCGCTTGGGACTCACGGGTGGTCCGTGTCCCGACGATCCGGGTTGCCCTTGTTTGAGCCAAAGATCCAACTTTTGCTCCAACATGTCTTCCCATTCCTCGATCAATTTTGCATTCGTGTCCCCACGCTCTTGTTGCAACGTTGATGTGAGCGATTGCCGCAATGATTCCATTTTTTCCGACAAGGTCGTTTCGAGTACCTTTTCCAAATCCATTGATGACGATGTATCGTGAAAGAGGGTCCGCGCCGTGGAGGGTGGTGACAGGAGTAGCCCGGGTGTGGTGCTGTTACTCATCGTGGAAGTGGCCGCCGTAGTGGGTGTCGTATTTTCTTGCTGCCGATTCAGTTCTCGCAATTTCGAGACGCGCGATTCCATACTTTGCACGTGTTCCTTGATGGCTTGTTTCATTTTGAGTTCCGTGCTACTGCTTCGGGGCGCATCCGCCGCCGGTGGAGATAGTAAGGGTGGCGCCTGAACGGAGGACGACACATTGTCCTGTGGCACGAATTGTTGCGACGACGTTGGTGGCGTATTCAATACCATCATAAAGTTTCGTGCGGACGCATCGAAAAATGGCAACTGGGAAACCGGCATCTTGTCGGCGAGACTGTTGCTCTTGTTGTCGTCGTCGGGACTGCCCTCGTTGCTGTTGTTGGGATTGTTGTCGCCCTCTCGTTCGGCCAGCATGTCTCGTACGGTCTTTTTGCCCTTTTTTCGCTTGGACCCTTCTTCCGAGGACGAATTATTGAGCGATGGCATGGTAAGTGCCGATATCTTGGCACTGGCAGAGTTAAATGAGGAGGATGTAGCAGTGGGCGATACAATGGAGTCGGCTGTCGGGGCAATGCGGGTGGTAAAGGTCGTGACGGGGGTGCCTTCTACTACAGTGTCATTGTTGTTGTGGCTGTTGTTGGTAGTAGTGTTGTTGTCATCCTCGTCGGTGGAATTTCCAGTTCCTTCCGTTCCCGTGTCGGTACCAGTACTGTAGAAGGATCGGTCGGCCAAGGAAGTAGGAGGAGAGAGGGGCATCAAGGGAGGCGGACATAGGAGAGATCCTCGTTCGTTTGTTGGTGGTGACACGGGTCTGTCCACGGTAGTATTGGTGTTGTTTGTTGTGTTGGAGAGTCGAACAGTGGTGGCGGATGCTTGTGATGTGTGCGGCAAGGGAGCACTGCCGTCCTCCGAGAGGCTGGGTATCAGCAACAGTGTGGATCGTTCGTCCTTGTTGTTTCGTTGCTGTTGCTGTTGTTGCTTGTTGGAAGAAGAAGCGGCAGCAAGAAGTGCATTCTTGGTAGTTTGTGCATCGTGTCGCATGGCCAACATCATTTGCTCCATGGCTGCCATTCGAGCATCCATTTGTTCCAACAAGACAGCACTCGGTTGTGATGATGTTGTTGTTGTTCGGGTGGGAGACGGCAACTTGGCCAGTACGGCCGTTTGTTTGGATTGTTCTTCCAACCTTGCAAATCTCAATTCCATGCTGACCATTTGATCCTTGACAATCTTTTCCAAATTGTGATTGTTGTTGTGACCTGCTTTGGGTCTGCCTACCATCATGGAGGATTCGTCATCGCTGTCATCGTCATCGGCGACCAACTGGACGGTTTCCCGTAAGGTTTGCTTCAGTGTGTCTTGCGACGCCAACACTTTTTGTTCGATCATTTGTCCGAATCGGTGTTCCATGTGATTGGCAAATTGTTGCATTCGATTGGTTTGAATGTCGAGTAGTTGTTCCATCAAATTGACCATGACGAGTGCCTCTGAGGGATTGTTGTTACTACTGGCGGAGTTGCTGGTGGGAATGTGAAACTGAGGAGGATCAAATTCCAACTTGGGAGGCATGGAAGTGGAGGCTGGAGTGTTTTGTTGGACGTTGCTGTTTTGTTCCTCTGATTCTGGAGTACTACTTGCCGACAGAGTGGGCAAATCATCCTCGTCTGTTTCGAGTGTGGGTCTTCGAACGGGAGATTTGAGAGAGTCCTGTTTCTTGGGAAGGGGAACCTTCTCAGTAGTATTGGTGGTGGTGGGTGAATGAGAAGTGTTTGTCTTGGGCACAATGTCATGTTGAACCTTGGCAATGAGAGTGAGTTGTTGTGCCTCTTGATGGCGGCTCATGAGCTGAATGAGTTCTTGTGCCGATGAAATCATGACACTATTCTGAGTCTGTGGATTGGGAAAGCTCAAGAGGACATGATGCTGGATCCGTGTGTCAGGTGGCAGAGAACTGGTTGGACTACTATTGCCACTGCCATTGCCACTACTGTCACCTGCTGATTGCGAAGAAGCAATCATAATCACAATCTCCACCAACTTGCGAAACGACAATTGATTCTCGTTGTCCATGATCTGGGGGATTCGAACTGGAAGTGTAGGGACTCCCACACCAGCTACATGATCATATCACACACATATATGACACACATTATAAGAAAGACAGACACATACCAAAAGAGACAGAAAAATGAGGCTTCAACTGAAACTCACCATCTGAACCCAAGACTTTGACATTCAAGACAAAGCTGCCAAAAGCCTCCATCACATCGACATCACTGCCTACACCTCCTCCTCCACTATTACTACCACTGCTAGACTCCATTGCCATCCTGTCAATCATAGTCATACACTGTACTGTAGCCACCCAACCCTGAGCTAGAGAGAGCCCTGAGCACCTCGTCCGGCTTCGTTCTCTCTCTCTTTACAATTCAACCTACTAGCTAGCTAGAGTCTAAGTCTGAGACATCATCGTCTTGCTCTCTTCTTCTTTTCAATTCCAATGATCTTTCTCTTGTATTGTCTTCTTTCTACCTACAGTAGTATATCGTACAGCGTGGACTGTCTCGACTCGACTCCACTGCACTCACACAATTGTTCGTGTCGTCGTGTTGTTTCTTTTTCTCGTGCTGTCCACGTCAGGATGCTGTAAAGAGGCCGTGTGACAGCCAGTGACTCCTTCGCGGCCGCCCGCAAAAGTGAATGAGCGCACGACATCTTTGTCGATGCCGCTCAGCCAATTTCCCGCAAAAAGAAATAGAACCAGATTTTTCGGCACCTAAACCAAAAATGACATTCTCCAACGGCATTCAAACGCTTCATCATTGTTCTGGCCAAACAAGCTGGGTGAGGTGGCGCCACTACTGGATCATGGATAACCTAGTACCGTACGGTAGCTAGCCAGCAGGACGATAAGAGACAGGCAACGTCTAGCTAGCCAACAGGCTTTGCTTGCTGAGAACGAGTCATCAAACGTTGTTTAGCTTTTTCTTAGTTGGTCAGTGTAGAAACTATACTCTTTGGAAACCCCCTGCCTCCAATGGAATGTTAGTTACCTCCACCAAAGAGACCTGGGGTTTGGTCCGCATCACACACGGGAAGATAATCCGAATAGTCCAGAATGGGCTTGGCATTGGGAACACAGCCCTGATCCGCCACCAACCACGCCAAAGTCAACAGTCCAACAGTCACGGTGCCCAATGAAACCTGCTCCACTGTGATTGTTGTTGTCTTGGCATCGTTCTCCTCCTTTGAGGGAGAAAACATGTAGGACAATGCCAATCCAACCACCACCAGGTACGACAAACCTTCCACGGCACCCACCAATCCAAACGGACCGGCCGGGAGACCTGCACGAGTCGTCGCCACACTGTAGAGCGATACCCAAACGACGGGTTGACAAGCCGCACCAATCGCAGTAGTCACACTACTGGTGCTAAGGCTCCCATCATCATTGTTGGCGCGAACGATCGTTGTGGTACTCCTGCTCGGACCTTGTGGTCCACTACTTTTGGACAATATGGCACTACTCGCAGTGGAATGGTGGTACCGTCGTCTCAAATGCACCAGAGGGAATGCCGAGGCTGGCGGAAGCAATGCTACCAAAATCAGCACCAACAGCGGGACCATTGGTGTTCGATGCATCCTTGTCTCCATCCTCGTCATTGCTTGCTTGCTTCTACTTTGTAGAAAGGCAAAACAAGACAAGTACACTTCGTGTCATTTCTTCTCCACCAATCACTGTGCTACGCTGTACCGGTTAGTTATCAGGCAAGATCATGGCCGATTTGGCACTGCGTATTTTTGTCGAGATGGGGAAGTGCACGGGGTGGATGCCGAGAAAACAGTTTTCACACTCTTTATCAAAGGTTCAACAAGGATTGGAGAGCAATGTTTACCGTGGATCTTTAGAGTCCGCAACCGGGACAGCCCGAGGCTCCTGTTTGGACTGTCCGTTCTTCCGAGTTTCCGGCGAAACCAGCACTCCTGGACGAACTCTTGGTTGTTATCCAAACCGAGCGCTGGTACCGTACGGTAGCTATCTAGCTGCAAAGTAGCAGAACGACACACAGCCAAAACCACTTTCCATTGAGTTCCGCATTCTGCCTCGATATTATGGTTTCTTCTTGGTTGTTGGCGCTGCTACTGGCCGTCATTGCCGTGCAAGCCAACAACGCTACCATTGATGATGGTGTCGATTCCATGCTCACTGCTGCCGACAATGCTGTCCTCGAAGAAGCAAACAACGCATCCATTGCCCTCGCAGAGAACAGCACTGTCGTCTTTAAAGATGCACCGTGTCACCCCAATCAAACGGAGTTTGCGGCCATGACAGAGTTTACCCTGGAGGGACGCAACGATCACATGACAGTGGAGGAAGGACTGAGGATTGAACGAGAATTCATTGCCGTGTACAACTACCTTGCAGCAATCAATTGCGACAGCCATTTTCGGCGTCTTGCCCTGATTTCAAAAGTCAATTCGACCAACTCTCTGGGACACGTTGTCTTTGATTATGTTCCAGTGCGACGACAACAACAGAGTCTGCAAACAAACAACTCCACCGGGGCGGGTCTCAGCGTCATGTATAATGTATCAGGGACATGCCGGGTAAGGGATTTGCAGCTGCTACTTTGCTTGTGCAAACTGACGCAAAAATGCTGAACCGTGGACCACGCTCTATTCTCACCAAATTTCTCTTGCACTCTGGCTGTTGCGTCATTCTACCAGGGGTGCCCAATCACCGATGCTGGATCCTTTCAGATGTACGACCAGGCCTTTCGACGGCGAATGCTGCGCACCTCCTCCGCATCATCTCCTGGCGGGATTCTGAATTACAGAGTGCGCCTCAGAACACTTTCCGTCAAGAGTATCGCAATACCACGGCAAAACATAGACGCCTTGAGCAACGCTACAGGCAGTAACACAGATTGCCAGTGCGCTCACGGATCCTTCCCCGAAGCCCCACGAGCCCCCAATGTGGATGAAGTTGTGCTGGGCATGAATGGCAGATTTGAGGATCTAAGAAGCGAACAACCGGGGGTCTTTGAAAGCTTGAATTTTGCAGAGAATGGGCTGTTTCAACACGACGATTTGACTCAAATCCAAACAGATTTGGTAGAAGATGAAAAGGAGGAATTGCTCATTGATGAACAAGCCGAGGGGGAAGAAGAAGAGGATGATAACGATGATACACCCAAGGAAGACGACGATGTACCCGCGAACGACGATGTTGCTGACGACGACGACGACGACGACGACGAATCCACCCGACGGAGCTTCGTTGAAGACTTTCTTGATCTCAATGAGTTCAGCGAGGATGAAGCTAGAGGAGACAAACGCAGAGGAAACCATAATGAGGGCTTCCCCGGGCCTAGCAGATTCAGCGAGTCGGAACTCAGAGAAATGAAACGAAGAGGCATCCGGGGAAGCACTGATGGTCACATCTTTGATTGATTCTTCCGAGCAAGGAATTGCCAGAAGTCAACAGGCTTCTTCACTTTCCAGTCAATGTTGAGGTTCCCCTCACAACATTCCAAGTACATGTCATAAGCAACAACAGTGTTTGGCTCAGATGCCAAGCAGGTGTCGGCAAGCGAGACACTGTACTCACCCTACTTCAGTGGTACCATATCGCGACTGATCCCAGTTTCCCTCCGCCTTACCTGGGCTTCGTCTTTTCTTCGATACAACGGTTTCGAGTTCCACTAATCCAAAATTGCCACAAATAAAAGGCAAATTGAAATTTTAGAAAGCAGGGCCAGCCACAGGACTGACAAATCCAGGACAGTCTTACTTAGAAAAATGGCAAGTGGGCAAGCTATCCGTCTGAGCCAAGAAAATATTGCAATCAAACGGTACCAAGTACTAAAAATAAACCTAGTTTTAAAGTTTTTCTACCGTTTAATTGGCTTTTTTGACCGAAATAGAAGCTCTTACAAGAAAATTGATCCGAGTCTCCCAGTTTGGAATTTTCGTTTTCCATCTTCAAAAAAGAATGGAACCGCACCGTACTGATCGAAAGCTGCTCTCTGTGCTCGCCTCCTAACTAAGTGAAAGATTGACTAGGCTAAGGGAAAGATGGGATGATTGACTTGGATGTGCAACATGCATGTTCTAGCTAGTTTATCTATTGTATTGGTGGTGAATAGCCGCATTAACCCCGTCGGCACCACGCACAAGGAGGAGAGGAAGGAAAGGAGGAAGAGGTGAGGAAGGAAAGGCGGGACGTCCCTTCACACCTCGGAGAAGTCTGTGCCGGTGGACATGTCGTCGTCATCCGAAACGACCACAGCCGCAGAATCACAGGCGAAGTCAACGGGGAAGTCAACGGGGTAGAAGTGGAGGAGGCCGTCGTCGAAGGCGGCAGGCATGTGGAAAAGGCAATTCAAAGGAGTATCATTCACGGGGAAGAGACCGCAGAGCTCCTCTGCGTCGTCCTGCGTCAAAATGGTTTCGGTAGGGCTGGCGGGTGACGCTTTCAGATCCTTGGTTTCCTCTTCGGGGATCATCTTTTCGATCTTTTCTTGGTACTCCTTGCTTCGCTCGCGGAGCCTTTGGATGGTCTTGGCATACGTCTTCTTTTCGGTGGCGACATAGTACACACCTTCGTATTGGCCGACATAGCGGCCACCGCTGGCTTCATGTTCATGGATGCACTCCATGACAATGGCGCGCTTCTGCTTTTGTGTCTTGGCGTAGATGTAGTCCATCTTGCGCTCATCGACCATGGCACGCCAAGCCTTGGATCCAGGGTGATGGTTTGTGCCTCCTCCGCGGAAGATGACGACATCATGGAAGCCTGGCTTTGTGCCAATGGGCTTGGAAAGGTCAAGTCCGTTCTTGCTCTGTGGGGCCATTGTGGTTGTGCTTTAGTTGTGTTGTTGAGTCGTTATTGGAGTGGGTGTGGATTTGTGAGCACAATAATGAAGGTGCGAGAAGGTGGCAGCAAATTAGCATGGAGAAAAAGGCGTGCACTTTGCATATTTCAGAGTTCGAGCCGAACCGAGCCTTCAGCGCGAGTGAATCGAAGAACATAATCATGTCGTATCAAGCTGTGATTGGCCACTACTTGGATACCGGCAAGATCAGAGGCTCGACCGTCGCGGCTGGTTGTGCTCCCAAGATCCAGATTCGATGGTGGAACCCTGAACAACAAACGCGAAACAGGGTGGCCCCAGTATAAAGTCCACATACGAGAGTTTCATCGAGGATAGCATGTCCTCAAAACGTCTCAAAAGACATCTCACGTGCAATGCTCGCGTTGAGCCAAGACTAGAACCGAACAGAGTCGAATAATCATTTGAAGAAAAAGATCACATCGAACTATTCCATTTTGATTAAAAGCCAGCAAGATCTTTTGAAGTTCCTATACTAAATCATCAGCCAGCGGAAGCTGCGAAGTACTGGTTGAGCCGCACCCCCAGCGCCAGCCGTACAACCACCATCAGAAGTACCAGTACTGGTACTACGGTACGGTGGTACCGGTATCGGTACCGGTCATGCATTGCTTTGGCTTCACACACTGCTGACTGTTGGGTTGAAATCTTCGAGTTGTGCTTGAGCGGAATTGTCCCGCCTGCTTCAAGCATCTGAAAGAAGCTCCAAATGCAATTGGTTGGAATGCAAGGGACATGCTACGGTACCGGTATTGAGGCAGACTGGAGGTTTCCTCGACCGTATGCTTCCTCTTGGATCTTGCAGAGAAGTCGAATTTGAACGTCAAGCAACGATCCAAGCGATGTCTTTGGAGGCACGTTGACAAAGGATCGCTCTCGAATCGTAGCGTCACATGATATGAAATCCAAGCGTAATCTTGCGGTGCCTAGCGCTGCAAATCATCCTCGAATATTGCACCAGGAGCCGCTGCGAGTCGAATGAATAGTCAGCGGGGATTGCAACGATGGCATGTATCGAAGGGTCGTTACTCGTTTAGCATTTCTGATCCCCTGATAGAGAGCCAAGTTTTTCACCGTGCCATGGGCAGTTTGGAAGCAATGTTGCTAGAGCTGATAACATGTGCTTGGTGGAGCCCTCCCGCAGCTTGTTTGCTGTGACGGGAGAAAGAGCTCCTGGCTGGAGTTGAAGGAATAAATGTCTGAGCCTGCCTGGCCCGGCCCTCGTTGGCTTCCTTTTAGATATCTCCCCTGTCTAAACCACCGCTCCTCAGCAGGAATAAAGGTTGGATCTTTAGCTTGTACGGCAGATCACACTCTGACCTTTGAACCTAACCCTAGAATTTTTGAAAACCCGACTGGAAAGGGTTAGGAATCTGACCCGAATACAGGCAAAGCAACGCTGCAGCAAACCGAAAAACACCGAGACTACGCAGAGAACAAGAGACAACAAAGCAAAGAAAGCACTGTCCAGGGTCGACCATGAGCGAGGACGGAGGTTCCAACTTTTGGTCCATGGCCTCTACCACCATCGCGCCCAGCCCAAGGATGAGTGATGCCCCAGCAGTAGCAGCAACAACTGGTAACGAGGTGCCGATTGCTCCTTACCCACCTGCCAACGGAACGCCCATGGCCCCGCCCGTCAACAACCACTATCCACCGGCTCAGCCCCAATATCACCAGCAGCAACAGCAGCAGCAACAGCATCAGATCTATTTGCAACACATGCATGCTCAGGCACATCATGCCCACGCTCAAATGCAGGCCCATCAGGCACAAATGCAAGCCCAGCATTATCAGTACTACCACCCGCCAAGCTACTACCCATATCCATATGGCTATGCCGCCCCCATGCCTTATTCGACAGCTGCCTCTGCCTCTCCTGTGCCTGCTATGCCACCCCAGCAGCAACAGCTGCCATTGATGACTCAGCAGCTAGAAGTGGCTCAACAGCAGCCAACGATGCCCCGACAACTAGAGCAAACCCCGACCCATGAACAGCAACCATTGGCCCCCCAACACCAGCAACTTACCTTCCCAAAGCAGCAACCAGAGAGTGCCCCCGGCTCTGCTCCAATTCAGGCTCTGGTGGAGAAAGGAACGTGCATCGCTCCTGCTGTCAAAATGGCGGCTCATGGGCTCACCGAGCTAGGAAAAGAAGAGCCCAAGGCAGAGCAGCCCGCAGCATCTGGCACGGATGGGGAAGTGAGCCAGGGGTCTTATCAGTGTTTTCCAGATGACATTCCAGAGCAACTGAGCCCGGCAACCAGCGACAAGAAGAAGTCATGCCCTCCCTTGCGTACTCAATTGCGGCTCCAGTTCACCGAGCTAGGAAAAGAAGAGCCCAAGTCAGGGCAGCCCACAGCCTCTGATATGGACGAGATCTCTAATGGGGAAATGAGCCAGGAACCTTGTTTCCCAGAGGAAGGTCCAGAGCAACCGAGCCCGGCAGCCAGCGACAAGAAGAAGTCATGCCCTCCGTCCTTGCGTACTAGATTGTGGCTGCAATTCCGAGAACCCAAAATCCTTGAAGTGTGGCAGGGAGACATGATCAATCCGATCGATCCCGTGGATATTTTGGTCATTTCGTGTTGTAAAGAAGAATACCACATCACTTGCCCTGGCTCGGTGATTCGTGCCATTGAAGGATCGCACGACCTTTGTGTGGCATCCATTGCCGAAAAATGTGAATTTGATTTTCGCAAAGAACATGGGGTTTGGGTCAGCCAGTTGTTGGACCAAAAGGGGTTGCCGTTTCGGCGCATACTTTGTGTCTTGATCCTCGATGATGATCCCCCCCTGGACAGAATGGACAGAATCTACGATAGCCTTTTTGGCAGCATTGCATCGATTGAGGACCGTGCGGACGACCTGAGAGGAAAGTTGACGATATCCATCCCACTGGTGGGAGATGCCTTTCACGATACAAATGTGGTCGCCACTCGACTGGTCCAGGCTTCCAAGAACGCGCTTCAGACCTTCCCAGTGTGCGGCAAAATCCAACTCTATGGCTACAAGGAAGAGCAAGCGTCAATCCTGAAGGAAGCGGCGACAGTTTCGGCCGCGTCGTGCTTTGTTCAACAAGCATCGGATGCTACGGCTCCAGTGGCGGCCCCGCAACCTGTGGCTACAGCTACAGTGGCCCCAACTCAACCCGTGACCAGCCCCAAGCCAGTCGTCCAGAAACCCCAAGCTTGGTTGGAACCGGCTGCCAAACAAGAACAAGCACGAGGAGAGACTCCGGCTGAAGCTAAAAAGGATTCGGTCCGAACTGGAGCGGCTCTGCCGCAACCCCTAGACAATCCCACTCAAGTCATCGGGCTATCGCGAGCAACACAAACGCAGTCCGGAGCCAAAGCTGCCCCAGTGGTGGCGGCATCAGTATCGCCTCAACCAGAGTCCGCGGCGACCCCAGTCCGAGACGGGATGATTGTGCCTCAGCCAATGTCGTCTCCTTCACCCGTCATCCAGCCATCTCACGCCAAAGCGCCGTCGGCTGTGGCCAACACAGCCGCAAAAGAAGCACCAGTCCAATACCTGGAGAGACCGGTTCCGCCGAAGGCGCCGAATCAAACAACAACCCAGCCACTCACGCACAACGTCGCAACCCTTCAGCTTCCAGTCGCTGCACAAGTCCAATACGTAGAGAGACCGGCTCCGCCGAAGGCGCCGAATCAAATAACCAACCAGCCACCCGTGCACAACGTCGCAAACCTTCACTTTCCAGTCGAAGCGGATTCAAACGTGGCCATGGTCCAGACTCGGGCAGCTCCAACTCGTCCTATCAACCAGCCACCTCATGCGCAGGCCAGCACCGTACCAATTGCGACAGCAAAAGCAGCAAATGTACCTCAGCAAGTCCAGCAGCCGTATCATTCCGCGCCCGAAACTCGGATTGCACCTCCACAGGTGAATGCCGGACCAATCGCAAGAGCAGCTCCAATTCCAACAGCGACCCCTCCGCAACCGCCAATTGCTCCCCCGAAACCTGCCTTGGGAACCACGGCGCCTCCAACCCAGCAAGTGTATGCGAACGCTGGGCAAACAAGGGCAGCCCCAACCCTGACAGTAGGCACTCCTTGGCCACCAGTTGCTGAGCAGAAACCTGCGCCGCCAGCCCCGCAACCTCAGGTGGACGCTGGACCTACCGAAAGAGCAGCCCCAACGCCACCCGCGTACCCTCCTCAGCCGGCAATCGCCCAGACGGGACCAGTGGCACCTCCAGCCCCACAGGCTCAGGCGAAGTCGGGACAAAGCGAAAGAGCACCCCCAACTCTTCCAGCGGCTCCTCATCATCCAGTCACACAGCCCCTTCAAGCCTCGTCTGAGGCTGCCTCTAGATCCCAACCAACCGCAAGAATGCCCCCACTTAGAATCTGTTTGAACGACAGCTCCGCTGACATCATCCTTGGGGAAAATGATATTCATGGGATTACCAACAACATCACCCGATTCTACAAGGATGAGATCAGGCCAATGTATCAGAGAACGCGCCCTTCCTCGATCGAGCATGTGTTGCGAATGCTGGACGTTCACTATGAGATCAAACACAATGGCCAAAGTCTCCCCGAAGCTCCTGCCTTTTGGATTTCATTGGATGGTGCTAAACGGTGTGACCAGCGACGGAGGGGCTTTAATGCCCATGAGCCACAACAACGTCACGAGCGTCCACCACCTGGGACCATATACTACGGAAGGAAGACCCGCGGACATCAGGTCTTCTTTGTGCGAGCATGCTCGGACTGTGTCAAGAACGACATTAGGGGGAACTACAAGAAACGGCGGACCCCGGAACCAGAGGAGTTGACGAGCGAAGGCAAAGCCAGTCCTGAGGAATCGAGGAGCGAAGTCATTTCTAGTCCGATCGAAGGCAGCGCTACTTGTCCCATTGAATTGACGACCGAAGGCACTTCTGGGCCCAATGTCAGTGAAGCAAAAGACGGCAACTTGAAAATGCCAACACAAGCAGCAGCAGCAGCCCAACTACCCCCCGCAGAGGCAACGGAAACCGAACCAGCCTTATCATCGTCAGCTGTCACGCAAAGTGCTTCGGGGGATTCCAAGGCAGAGATTCGTGACATGATGGAAACCACGCGCCGGATGATGCAAGAAGCAGCAGGGAAAGGTCAATTCTTGCTTGCTTGGCAATTGCAAGAAGAAATCAAGCGATTGGAGAATCTCCAGCGTTTGATTCAGGAAACCGCAGGGGAAGGTAATCTCACCAGGCCGGACCCTCTCTTGTACAGCTCTCAGCTCTCACAGCCGCCGGCGAGAAGAACCCTGCCAGAAAGAAGCCACCCTGACGGTCCCTGTAGGTCCGGGGCGGACGGCACCATTGGTGGTCCCGAAGAAGATCCCAATGATGAGCCCATTCGTCCACGGGAACCCAAACGGCAAAAGCGACCGCAATCTATTGCCGGCAAGCTGTCAGATACTGTTGCAGGTGCTTTTGGCTGGGTGTTTGGTCTAGGTAACAGCAAGTAAATTAGGGTCTTTGGCGGTGCAAACTATATATTCATTAGTTCCGGAAAACTGTTACCGGGCCGAGTACACCAACGGAGCACAAATTGTAGGCGCAGTGATGGCGAAAGACCCGAGGCTATTGGTGAGGAAACCTTGCTGTCTCCCGTTCTAGCTTGTAGAGGTATTCCCGACAGCTCATCTGTGGGACCCTTTTGCTAATCTCTCTCATTTCCTTTTGCCAATGCCGAACTCCGGTGTCCTCCTTGATTTTCTCTTTATACGTCATGTTGCCTCCGCCGGGTAACTGCACGATGTAATCGACGTTGGTTTGCATTCCCACCTTATCTTTCTCAAAGTGTCCCACCTTTTTGGCCGTGGCATTGTAGTCACCTTTGAATGTACCTTTCCCGAAGATGAGATCCTTTTTCCACCCAAGAGCCAAGCCATAGCCAAACTTGAATGCCTCTGGACCCGTCACGAATACCAATTTTAGATGGGCAATGTCGTCCAGGTTCAGTATGCGACTCATGACCTCGTGAATGTTGTAGTATCCGATGGGATGTCCCGGTGCCATGGCAAAGGAACCCTGCGTGGGTCTCGACCAGGCATCGGAAAAGGCAAAGAAGTCCACATCAGGTGAAATGATATCTTCGGTAAAGTCGGGTTTGGGCAAGAGGTCCAGATCCGCATAGAATCCACCGTACTTGTACAGCACTAGCAGGCGCCAGATATCCACCAGCATGGCACCTCTCATTTTGGCGCATTTCATGGCTTGACCCAGTTGTGGAAACTCGGGCCAGTTCTTGGGATCCAGCAGAGCATCCACGGCGTCATCATCGTGAAAGTAGACACTGTAGTTGGGAAAGGCTGTGTTCCATTTTTGAAAGGTTTCGGCTTGTAGATAGTGCAGGCATCGACCCTGTCGTGGCGCAGCATCGTTGGCACTGACCCATGCCAGATGAATGGAGCGTGGAATCTTTCGTCGCGTCACGCCGTCGGCTTCCAAGTACGGATCCGTTTCGGCAATTATATCGGCCACGGCCACATACGGATAAGTGCAGTTGGGAAGTGGCTGGTTGCCTCGTGTCAGTTCCGAAATTGGCATGGGTTCCCAGGGTTCTTTTGGCTCCTCTCTCGTTTCGGTGTCGCTTGAAGTTAGTTTTCTTTGTTGTTGCCCTTGCAAATCATTGACACCCGCCACGATGGCACTCAATAGGACCAATTCCTTGTGCCATGATCCGACCGCTGATGAAAGCACTATGAACACGATCGCAAAGAGTTGAATGTATTTACCGCTCACCGAGGCTCCATCTCTTGACGTTGTGGTTGACATGCTGGAATTAGACGATATTAATAGTGGCCATGGAAATTATCTGACAAGGTGCCTTCAAGCCAAGAAACGTTGCCAGATACTATTCCAACTCGTCGGGTCAAATCGATGCCGGGTGCAACCTGCTGTTTCGTACGGTACGGTACCATTGCTTCCAAGGCTCATTCGTGGATACACAACGTTTGACTCAACCGAATCAACGGGACTCCTATTCCAACACGTCCGGTCAAATCGATGCCGGGTGCATCCTACTGTTTCGTACGGTACTGGCAGCCCTGGCCCGTTCTGGCACCCCCTGGCAGCGCGAAACGCCACGCCAGGCTTCTACGGGGATAAAACTAAAGGAGATGGACGAAGCAGTTGGTGTAAAGGATGCCAAAGAACGCGGATCGATGGCTCATTCAAGAAGACAACAATGTGTGGTACGACGCTAGTGTACTTTGTTTCATCTTCGACTTGTATTTCTTTGGGATTGGCGCTAGTCGGCTCTGGCTCCAGGTCGTCTTGTCCTTCAATCTGCACTGCCATTGGATAATTCAATCATGGTCAACGTCTTCGGCTCTCTTGTAATCATCATGAAAGAATACCGGCTAGCTAAGTAGTGGGCAACATCTATTTATCATGAGTACCAGCCTGCAAAAACCCCTTTAGGTAGAAGTGATGACATCTCAGCGCATCCTTCTTGTGGCTCCCCTAGCCCTTTCCCAACATATGTAAATTGATAATCCGGGTTGAGCTCATATCTTCCAGAAGTAGCCAGATACCGAATGACGATGCGTACATCAACCTGCCTATCTGCCTTGCTTTTCGTTTCTGACGTCTCGGTAGACTTCCCCTTGGTGCTCTTTCGTCTGCATTCTTCTTCTTTGAACTTGTTCGCTTCCCGCTCCACGTCTTCCATCGAAACACAACCTGACATCGCAACTCGAAACGCAAAGACTAGATTTGCAAGACTATTAGGTGGCTTGCGGCTCGAAACAAAGTATGCGTTGACAGGTAAATTCAGTTTCCGCGTTGCCACCTGGTTTCCAATGAACCATGCAAACTCCACGACTTCGTTGGGCCCTTGTGTTGTGTCACCACCTGCTAGCTGCATCTTGACCTGTCCAAGAATTCCGGTGAAACCCTCCGCAGTCCTGAACTTACCCCCAAAGTCAGTTGCTGGCTCGATACTGCTTGGCCACACGCTCATGAAAGGCCTCTTTTCACTCTCAGTTGTTAGTACTTCCTGGCCGTTCTTCACTCTGGCAATGTCAGTTTCAACCCAGGTGTCAGGATCACAGTCCTCGTTGAGCATGACAGTCAGGGCAGCAACATACTCCATGGCTGTTGTAGCTTCAAAGCCTACTTTTTTCGGGTTGAGTTGACGGGCCAGTATTCCATAAACGCCACCCGCTTTCTCCATCAACTTCAACAAGTACGGAAAAGGAGCTGAGACATACCCTCTTCTCCTTTCGGAGGGACCTTTTGGAAGATACCATGCACACCCTTGATTAAATATGCTGCCAAACTCCGTGTCTTCGTCGCCAATTTCCTCCATTCTGAGAGCTTTCCCCACAAATGTCTTGGCAAGCTCATCTTCTATTCTGTCCCAATCCACGTCTTCTTCTACCCGATGATTTGTGACCAGTTGCCCCGTGGCATGTGCCCTGGTCTCCTGGTTGTACGCAGGGTCAAGTGTGCCAGTTATGACCTTGAATGAATCCAACAGAAGCGAGGGGTGTCCGCCTGCAAGAGCGACGCACGGAGTCCACATCTCTCTGATAGTTCCATCCAGCACAATCCTTCCCTCAATGTCCTGCCAGTCCCTCCGCTGCCTAAAACGTTGCCTTCATGCAGCATTCAAGAGCTCCCAGGACTGATCCATAGTCAGAGGGTACAGTCTCAGCGGCTTGTAAGCTAAGGATGAGAGGCTGTTGGGACCGATAATTCGACCAGAAGGGCTCGTGTGTGTAATGATGGGAACAACATAGCGACTCTTTGTGTGGTCCGAGAGACCACAGATTTGACCCCAAAACGTCGTAATCCAAGTGAAGACTTCAGCTTCTGCGAGAGCTTTCGCAACTTTTTCTTCTTGGTTTTGAGCCTCATATAGCTTGGCCATAACATCAATTCTTTTCGTTACAAGGATATGCAATTCATCAAGGTGTACCACCAAAAGACCTTTTCCTTCAACAAAGAGAGACTAGAATAGAGCATCCGCAATGACTGATACTGGGGGTAGCTCGGCATCAGGAACTGCTCCCCGTCCAATCCATGTGAGGTCAGGAGCGCATTCTAACAGTCCTCTGCTCAGCAGCAACCGAGCGAGGGCAGCTTCGGGTTGAACTGTTGGTTTCTTGGTCTCGAGGCAATCATTGCTGCCATCTGCTCCATTGAAATCCAAATGCACAACGCTGGAGGCCAGCTGTGTATCGTCCTTGATATGGGACCATGTTTTGAATGCTTGGAACAGCCACCGACTCTTCCCGGCTCCATTAATGGTTGCATACTCAGCAACAACTTTGGTCTTCTTGTCGTCTCTCTCCGCTGTAAATGCTGGGGTCAATGCCTCTTGGAGTTCAACTTGTTCTCGTGCTCGACCAACGAAGTCGAGCGAGGCATCAGGTTCTTTGTGAACATTGGGGTCGCCACGGTTATCCCTGTCCTCCCTCAGCTGAATCAAATCCTCCGCGGTGAACTTGCGGAGCGCCTCTCTGGCTCGATCGACTAGAGTAGCAGGCTTCTTGGTACCCGGCGCCTGTTCTAATCATATCATGCGAGTGCGAGGATCATGTCAGTGCCAAGGTAGAAGTCTTTGAGGTGCATGAACAACGTGTGCTCATTGGGAGTGGAGAGAATGCTGTAGATGAGGAGTTGCTGGGCAGCTTCCGCCAAACACTCCTGGAATTATGTTCCGAAAATCCTCCAACTGTGGACACTGAAGGTTGAATGAGGAGTACGAATCATGGCTAACATTGGGGAGATGCTGGATATCCCTGCATGGAATTGTAGCGAGGCATATGTAACTTTGCTCAAGTCTCCAATGTCCATGCTGCTGAGAGCTGCACAAATCAACAACCAGTTGTGAGCCAGTCAAGTTCCACAAAGCAGAGCAACTGCCAGCCAGTTGGTTCTTGGTAGCAGCATTGTGACTGCAGGTTTGCCAGTGGTGTTGAAATGTCATTCAGCTGTTTCAGATAAGTGGTAGAAGAGCTTGAAGTGGTGGGCAGTGTTTGTCATGCCATGCTGCCACAGCAGTATTGTCACAGAGGATGGTGATGGTACATCCTCTGCTTCTGCTGAGCTCTTGGATTAGGATGCCAGGGAGATAAAGGCAGCCAGCTAGCTCCCATTCAAGGTTGCAAGACATGATGGTTAGCTAGCTCAGGTTTGCAAAGAGATTGCTACATGTATGGTATGGCTAGCTAGCTTGCAACAAGAGAGGAAGGATCCTGTTTGGCAGAGATCCTTGCTGATCAGGTCCATGTACCGGTAGTGTTTGACAAGTCGCAGTTCACAAGTTAAGATTAGTCGAGGTTTTATTTAGCCACTGATGGGAGTAACGGAGGCATCTTTCTTCGGCACACAGCACACAGTCACAAGTGGCAGTTTGGGAACTCTTCGCATCTTGCAAGATCTTCGTTCCACATTTGCTGCTTGGCTCCAGCAACAACAACCCATTGTAGTTCCAACTAACTAACTCAGCAGCCAGAAGCTCAGCTGTACTGTATGGTACAATATTCCTGCCATTGCAACGCCATCAGTAGATATCATAAAAGAGCAATCCAACCGTCCGCAAAGACACTGGAAAGACATCCATCCATCATCTGCAGTGCTTGATTGATTGATTGAATGAAGATGAAGTTATCGTTGCTGTTCCAAGCAGCCTGCTTTACTACTACTAGTATTTCTCTGAATCAACTCCATGGAGCACAAGCGCAACCTCTGCTGGTAGAAGGAGATCTAGGATGTCTCAACGATGGCGGTACTAGTGATGGTGATACCTGTCGCCCCGCTTCCAGTACTACTGGTGACAAGCCCGTGGGATCGTTACTACCCTCTCATCTGCCCGAACCAGTGGTCTTTACCAATTTTGTGGAGAATACGACGGTGTCACTTTCCAATGGTCGCGAAGTGCCAGTGTCTACCGGCACGGTCACACAAATCAATCAATTTGCCAATTCAGGTAGCAGTAGCAGTACTCTTAATAGTGCTACTGCCAATAGCGAAAGTATCAATTTGGCCACGGAATTCTCGGTCCTGCCACAAGCATTGAGTCGCTCCAGTGTGGACAATGTCTTGTCCATCCTCCAAGATTATCAATATTTGGACGAAGATCCCGACACGGTCGATGGCATGCCCACCTATGAAATCTTTGTGGATTCGCCCGATCTCTACCAACGTCAGGGCAACAATAAGGTCCGAGACTCGGATCCCAATTTTCTTCCTTATCGCATCCAATTGCGAGAAAAACTCCAGGCCATTCTCCAACCCTATCTGACGACTGTATTGACAACCTTTGTCCAACAACACTACCCGGACGCCTGCAGCAATAAAGGACCGTCACGAGCCTGTACGCCTTGCTATTCCCTCATAAGACGGTATCGACATGGAGACAGAGTGTCCCATGCTACGCACCACGATGGACATGCCATTGTTACGGTCGTCGTGTCGTTATCGGATTACGGACTGGATTATCGGGGTGGATTATATGTCAGTACCGGCTTTGGACAACACGAATTCATGGCATTGAAAAAGGGCGATGCCGTTGTACACCAATCCACACTTCTTCATGGCGTCAAAGTGTACGATAAACTCGAAAGGCCCGAAACAACCCAACGATGGAGTTGGATCTTGTGGTACCGCGATTCCACGGCTTGTGCGGATTACAGTTACGAATGGTTTGCCGACTGTGCCCAGCGAGGATCCCCACTGTGTCAACAATTGCATTCCACCAAAGTCGGCAGTGTGCCAGGGATTGACGCCAAAGATGCCTACAATCAAGTATTGGACTTGAATTTTGCAGCGGCCCGAGGGGGTGCCGGAGGATCGGCCATCAAGGTCGCCCGCGCGTATTTGCAGCAATTGCCATCCCGGTTAGAATTCGATCAAACCAAGGCGGCAGAGTTTTTTCAAATGGCCATTCAATCGCATCATCCCGATGGACATTACGGCATGGCGCACTTGTTACTGGCGCAAGCGCAATTGCAACAGCAACAACAACAACAATCGAGTGACAACAATATGTACTACCAAGATGCACTGGTCGTGCAAGCCGTGGCGCATTTGGAATCCGCCGCCCAATTGGGACATGTTTATTCGCAATTCAATCTCGGCATGGTTCACACGTACGGATACGTCACGGGACACATTAATGGAACCCTGGCGGCATCCTGGTTCATTACCAGTGGGTTGCCGGAAGGATACTACGTCGCGGCACAACAAGCCAAAGCTGTGGGAGATCGAGAGCGATATGCACAATTGGGACAACGAGCGCATGCGCTGGGATTCATGGCACCCTGGAGAAAACAAGCACGACAACACACGGGATCGGGGGGAGCGGCCGGGGTCGATCTCAATCTGCCCTGGCCCACTGCCATGGATGGACGACAACCACCCAAGTTGTAGAAATGAATAAGGACGAATGAACCACACAAGAAGAGACAATCTGCCGCCAGCAAAGAAAGCAAGATTTCTTTAAGGTTTCCCGGAACAGCATGATCTTCAAGGGTACGATGTGATACCCTCAATTTGATGCACTCTCACAACGCTATATTCCATCTCTTCACTGGGGCCAGAACTTGACATCAGCCCAGGCTGTCTCCAAAGCTTCAACCAGTCTCCCTCAACAGCACAATCTTCAGGTACGACGTGATATCGCCGAATCTTCTTCGCCGTGGCCAGAAGACCGGCAGAACTTGATATGCATTGGTACGGCTACAAACTACACGAGATGAAGCTCAGCATATCAGCCCAGGGTGTCTTCTGAGACTGCATGGACTAGAACATTACGGTCTGAATATATTCCTGCCCGGCTTCCGTAGACCACTACAATACCCTTCTCTAGTCTTTCGCCCTTAATAATATACATTCTAGCTAGCCAGCCGCTCCCGTGGAATAGAAGTCTACCGTTGCAGAAGACTAATGACCCACAAACAAGAACCTACCGCCCACACAGCCGTTCAAACTCCGAGGCAAGCCTTTCTCTGCAGTGGAATACCGTGCTACCGGTAGCGTGCAAGGTATCCGCAATTTCCCTACTCTAAACCTCGGCAGGTAAACTGCCTGAGTTCTCAACCCCTTTACCTCGGCAGGTAAACTGCCTGAGTTCTCAACCCCTTTACCTCGGCAGGTAAACTGCCTGAGTTCTCTACCCCTTTAATGCTATTTCCTATTTCCTATTTCCTATTTCCTATTTCCTATTTCCTATTTTCTATTTCCTATTTCCTATTTCCTATTTTCTATTTCCTATTTCCTATTTCCTATTTCCTTTTCCGGTGAAGCCAAAATATAAGGATAGAGATAGTCATAAGCCAACAAACTGAACATTGATGGTTCAATACAAGTTAGGGGTAGGAATAAATCATTAATATTTAAGGTTAGTGCAATCAGCACAAAAAGCACAATAAGCAACAGGAGCTGTAAAGGTAGAGTACAATAAGGGAATGGCAACTGGTAAATTATAGAGTAGAGGGCCGGCAACACACGACTAGTCGGGTGTTGTCGCCAGGGCTTGCTTGAATAAAGAATGGTTGAAATGGGGAATGAATGATACCGGGCGGCAACAACAACGTAGTCGGTGTTGTCGCCAGGCTAGCTTAAAGATGGGTGCATCTCGAATATGATCCTCCTTCTTCTATCTGTCTTTCTGCCGAGGTATCGAGCTCCCCTGACTTAAATGCTATTTCCTATTTCCTATTTCCTATTTTCTATTTCCTATTCCTATTCCTATTCCTATTTCCTATTCCGGTGAAGCCAAGAAGTATAGGATAGAGATAGTCATAAGCCAACAAAACTGAACATTGATGGTTCAATACAAGTTAGGGTAGGAATAAATCATTAATATTTAAGGTTAGTGCAATCAGCACACAGCACACATAAGCAGCAGGAGTTGTAAAGGTTAGAGTTACAATAAGGGAATGGCAGCTGGTAAATTATAGAGTAGCGGGCGGCAACACACGACGTAGTCGGGTGTTGTCGCCAGGGCTAGCTTAATAAAGAAGGTTGCAATGAGGGAATGAATGATACTGGGCGGCAACACACGACGTAGTCGACGTAGTCGGGTGTTGTTGCCAGGGCTGGTGCACTGGCTTGAAAGATGGGTGCAATCTCGAACATGATCCTCCTTCTTCTATCTGTCTTTCTGCCGAGGTATCGCAGCTCCCGCTGACTTAAACCCCCGTGAATTTGTAAGCCAGTAACCGCTCTGAATAATAAACCCTAAACCTAACCCACCTGAACCCGAGTCGTCTCGTCTTTGCAATCTGGCAAGAAATGCTGTCCTGAGCTCTATAGTTGGCAGTCATAGCTTGTAGCTATAGATCTTCGGCAAGGATTCTGCCAACCAGACACTTTAGTTGCAGCTAGCTGGCCAGCCACACTGAAGCAATCTCTTTGCAAACCTGAGCTAGCTCGCCATCATGTCTTGCAACTTTGAATGTGAGCTAGCTGGCTGCCTTTATCTCCCTGGCATCCTAATCCAAGAGCTCAGCAGAAGTATCTACAGAGGACGTACCATCACCATCCTCTGTGACAATGCTGCTACAGTGGCCTGGCATGACAAACAATGCCCCACCACTCCAAGCTCTGCTACTTCCTATCTGAAACAGCTCAATGACATCCAACACCATTGGCAAACCTGTAGCCACAATGCTGCTGCCACCAAACAAAGGGCTGATAGTTTCTCCTCTTTGTGGAACTTGACTGACCCACTGTTTGTTATTGACTTGTGGAGCTCTCGGCAGCATGGACATTGCAGAGGACTTGAGCAAAGTTGCGTATGCCTGGCCTCAAGTAATACAATTTGGAGACGCTCTGCAATCTTCCTGCTCCGGGAAAATGCACCGCCGCTTGTGGGAAGGAGTCACTGTGTTGTTTCATTGCCAACAAGAATCTACAACCTTCTTCCTTCAGTTCCATCTGATCCTGTTACTGGAGTCCCAGGAGGCGGTGAGTTTTGCTTGGGTTCTGGCCAACCATCGCGGTCAGATTGTGCTACAATGTTCTGGTCCCGTATTTGGTCTTGTTCCGACATCCTACAGAGCAGAGGCTTATGGCATCCTTTCCCCAACTTGTCTTCTCCGGAGACTACTGGAGTTCTATGACCGAACCAGCATGAAAGACTATGTGCACCTGTGTGACAATGAATCCGTTACCAACAAGTGTGCTGGCTGTCTTGACTACGAAGGCTGGTACCCGAATGACTCCTTGGCGTCTGATTGGGATGTTTTACAGCAAATCGAGGAGTCGTTTCGAGCTGCCATCACCGTGCCCAAGATGGAACATATTAAATCCCACCAGGATAAGACCAGGGCAATCGAAACACTGCCGCTGAAGGCTCAACTGAACTGCAGGGCCGACAAATTGGCTGGTAGCTATATGCATCATCACATGGCGGCTGACCATTCGAAGGTGCTCCGATTCCCTGCCAACTTAGCCAAGCTACATCTCCCGAACGGTACATGTACCTACAAACTACCAAGAACACTGCGGCACCTGAGGAATGATCAGCCATTGTTTGATCATATCGTCAAACAGAACTCTCAGTTGATGTGGATCTTTGGAGAGGTCAAATGCAGTGAGCTATCAGTACCAAGCTATGAAGGATGCCACCGATCCATTCCTCTTGGAGATTGTGCTCGACGGCCTACAGTATCACTTTGAGAACAGATTCCTCCATCCATGGCACTATCCGGAACGGTACCGTGACCTGGTGGATGCACAGAACCTCATAGGCTGGGACAACTTCCTGTGATGACGATTGGCCACATTCTGGGCCAAGCACCAAGACGCTTACTTGCGCAGGGTCTCTCCACAGGAGACCACGAGGACTGGACAGCTTTGCACCAAGCAAGGTCAGTGTGTACATTGTACAATAGAGAAAGATAGATCAAGCATGTTTCAAAAGTGGAGTCATTCTACATTACACCCTTTTCACTCTACTCTGCTGTTGTATGTTTGGTTAATAGGTGTAACCTTATTCATGAGCATTGAATCTACAAGAATAAAGTTCCATAAGCTACAATGAGACTGGCCACTGTCGTCTGGATTACAACAGAAGACATCTTTGTTGCACCCGATGATGGTTGTTGTTCGATCAACTTTAACTCGTCTGCCAAAACAAATAGTTCTGCCTGTAGATTGTCCAAAGCTTCCATGGTCGCATTAGTCGCCAAGCCTCCGTCTCCGTTGCTCACAACAAAGATGCCTGTCCTAGTGGCTGGGTCAATGTAAAAGTAGGAGACGGCGCCTGGATCTCCGCCCGTGTGACCAAGGATAGTTCGAGGCACACCTCCAAACTCTTCTTCTCTGGTATGCCAAAACATGCCAACCTCATCGCCATATCTCGGACGAATCATCTCTTCAAAAGAGGAACGCTGGAGAAGCACAACCTCACCCTCATTGTTACCAGACCTGAAAGTTCCTTCCCCCAACATGGCTCACATGTACTTGGCCATGTCGTTGGCACTGCTTCTCATACCACCATCGGCTACTGTTGCGACTGAATACAACAGCACTTCGACAACCTCTTCGCCGATTGGATAGTAGGGTGAGGCAATCACATCAAGTCTTCGAGCCGTAGGCTGCTTTTGGACATGCCAAGAGGCTCCAAGACTTGCTCATGGATGTAGTCTTCGATTGGCATGGTAGAAGTGACTTCCACAAGATAGGCAGCTGCAGAGAGGTCGCGACATTGCTGTAGACACGCTGCTCTCCCGGAAGGACGCCGACCAAAAAGTTCTCATTGGGATTGCAGTAGACTCCATCCGTAGAAAGGTACTCGTCAAGCCATCCACCCTGGTTGAGTGGAACCTCCTTGTCACAAGACTTTTCCATACCAAACGCATCAAGTAAGAGCTCATGATCTCCTCTGGCAGGACCAATTAAGAAAGCACATTAATAGTAGGGAGTGGCATCGAGAATGGTGGATCGATGCGTTGCCAAATGTTCCATGGTAACATTGTGGAGGCGAGGATCCAAAGAAGGAAGATGCTAGCTAGTAGAGCTATCATAGGACATCAGATGACATCACAGAAAGATGGAAATGATGATACGACTGTAGCTGCAACAGCGAGAATCGAATGAGGCAAGACACAAGGGCAGCCATCTTGGCATTGGAAATGGCTCATCAGGTGGTGGGTGGGTGGGGGGGGGGGGGGGGGCAACCATTCTTGAGACACCAAGAAGGAGATGATGAGCAGCTCAACACTTTTGAAGTTTTGTGTATCACTGCAAGACCTCAGAATGAATCCCTGCCCCCCCCCCCCCCAAGCAAATGGCCGCTCTTCCTTTCGTTACATCTTCGCGGCGCGGTGGCTGCAAGGGACAGGCTGAGCGCTCTCTATCTTCTGGTGGCTACCGTACCGTAGCTTGCTTGCCCTTGCTTCGTCGAGAACGCACGAGTAGTGTCGTGATATACAGATAGCGATTCCTCAGTTTTGAGCGATTCGATTCGGAGCATGGTTTTACCGAATGAATCGAATCAGCTTGCAGATTGGTTGATGGTTGATGGCCGGCTGACCCTGCCCGAGCACCAATCCAACATCCCTACAGAGGCATAAATTGGAGCTTATCTGCATATCCTTGCTTACCGGTACTAGCCTGTAGTCCTCCCTCCGACTGGGCTATGGGTTGTGGGTTGCTTGCTTGCAGCGGAAGATCAGGCAGGAGCCAAGTCACAGCAGGATTCCTTGTGATCCGCTTCCACACACTAGCTAGCTACATGTAGCCTAGATGATGAGCATTGATGAGACCTCAAGCCAACTCCAACCACGACATACGATGTACCAGTATACATACGAGTCCTAATAAAGACATAGATTGGTGCCGTAGATCGCTTTGGAGCGGCCCTTCATTGGCTCATTGATTTCACCGGGATCTTTTGTTCCACATTGCAAGATCCAGGCTAGGGACATCAGTCCGAGGTTTACGAGGACTGGCATGGAACTGTCTTCTTACTAGATAATGTCCTTATGGAAATAATAAGATTTAAGCATGCAGGGGAGGAATCGAATCCCAACCAATAACCGTACTGTGTGTGACAGTGTGATGTCTCCAAAGCAGTCCTGGAAACGGTCAGATGCCCGCCCCAAGTGACGCTCCTAGCCTGGTCCGAAATATTTCATAACCGAAACTGTTCCCGAATGATTGAAATGGTAATCATTGTACAAAACGGTATACTGAAGTAAAATCAGGTATCGGAACAATCCGACTGGCAATAAATTCGTTCGGAACTAGAGTAGAACGCGTACACTTGCCTGCTGGGTGCCTCACACAGCCAAGCAAGCTTCTCTTTGAGATTCTTGGTTGGCCGTTGGCTTTTTGTTCCACCGATCCTCAATAACAAAAGTGAGACAACTACTTTTCTCGCTCCTTCCCACTAGCTAGCTCGATGAACTGGGCACTACAGTACCTTGCTTCTATTCTCGCGAGTTCCTGAATAGAAACCTGGTGGATGGAGAGAGAGAGAGAATCTGACTTGTGAAGACTCTCATTTTTTGGAATTTCTCGATCTAATCGAGAGATCTTCTTACAGTCATACAGTACCGGTACATCCATCCCATACCTTCAAGTAGTGCAAAAGATGACTCGACTTGGATTTTGGCTTGTGTGTTGGCTCTTCTTCTTGCCCGTGCTGGTCAGTGGAGGTCTCCTCCGTGGACTGCAAGATGAGACCAACAACGACAATACGGCCGCCATTGTGGGTGGAACCGTGACGAGTTTTGGCCAACACCGTTACTTTGTGGACATGGATTGGTGCGGTGGGAGTCTCATTTGGGAAGATATTGTCATGACGGCCGCCCATTGCGACGGGAGTGGCTGGACGGTCAAATTAGGTCCTTCCCAAGTGTCTCGCAACGTGGTGGCACGACGGGTGCATCCCAATTACAACAGTTTCTCGAATCGATTCGATATCATGGTGGCCAAAATCAACAGTCCCGTGCCGGCCGCTACCATTATTGGACTCAACAGCAACGGTGGATCTCCGTCGGATGGAGATGCGTTGGATGTCATTGGTTTGGGTGCCACATCCGAAGGAGGAGGATACGATGGACAATTGAGAATTGTTACCGTCAATTACGTGCCCAATAATGAATGCAATCAGCTATATGGAGGGGATATCACCAGTGACATGCTGTAAGTTTACTGACATACTACTGCTTTTGACTTGTTTGGTGGCTAACCTTTCCATTTATATGATACTACCATACTACAGTTGCGCCGGAGTCGACGGTGGCGGCAAGGACTCGTGCCAGGGCGACAGTGGTGGACCCATCTTTGAAGGAAATACCGTCGTGGGTGTTGTGTCCTGGGGAGAAGGTTGTGCTCGTCCCAACTTTCCAGGTGTTTATTCTCGAGTCTCTTCGTCGTACGCATGGATTCAACAAAGCATTTGCGATCTCTCCGACAATCCTCCAGGAAGCTGTGGAGGAGCCGCCACCAATCCACCCACCAACCCGCCCACTAGTCCTCCTACCAATCCACCCACCAGTCCTCCGACTCCTGGTATGTATTGGCATAGTGTTCCTTTCCTTGCATGCATCGTATTGGGAATCTTGTCGTGTGGCTCATTCTATTGCTTCTTTGGCGTTGCCTATGCTCTTACGAAACCAAACAGGACCTCCAACGACCGGGACACCCACCAGGCCTCCTGTACCCTCCAGCACTCCTACGGAACCCCCCACCAATCCACCAACACTTCCACCCACAAACCCTCCCACGGCATGTCAAGGTAGGATTAGTTGGATATCATGGATATCATATGTCCTCGAGATTCGATTCGTTTCTATACTCTATGCTCAAGCCAAGTCACTCATACTTACTTTGTCCTGTCCTATCCTCTCCTCTCCACGAAACACACAGATGACGATTGGAGTCTTGGTGGCGGTACGTAAAAAACCAGTTCAAGTCGTCTGAATCGAATCCGACAACTAGTGCATCTCTCACATTCATACCGGTTGCATCGTTGACGTTGCGTGACTACTACTAGGATGGGGAAATGGAAACGGAGACTGCAATGGAAATGGAAATGGTCCAACCGACCCACCCACAGACCCACCAACTGACCCACCCGTAACAAGTCCGCCCACAGAACCACCAACAACTCGCAATCCCACTTTTGCTCCCACGAGGGCACCGACGAATCCACCCACGGACCCACCTACCGATGCTCCGACGGATCCTCCAACCGATGCACCCATCGCCACACCCACCACCAATGCTCCCACTGGAACACCCACCAATCCTCCTACTGATCCCCCTACGGAACCTCCGACAGAGCCACCGACCGAAGCTCCCACAGATCCTCCAACCGATGCACCCATTGCGCCCACGGATCCCCCTACAGAACCTCCCACTAATGCTCCTACGGAACCTCCTACTGATGCACCAGTGGACAGCAATCGAGATGGTACGTATGATTGATTAGTAGGATTGGTTTCTTGCTGGTTTGTTGGAAGCTACGAAGCAACTTGGCTTGTTCGTTCGTTCGTTCGTTCATCAGCCAGCCACCATGGCTCGTTCATCAGCTAACTCGTCTCTTTGCACCATTTGTTTTGCTTTGCTTTGCGTTGCGGCATGCACCACAGGAGATGATGATTGGGACATTAATGGAGGTATGTATCATTATTATGACGCAGCCAAAACAGACAGGTGGATGCAACTCTTTGAGATTCTCTTTGCGCTAACATTTGAGTTTTCGTTTCTTTCTTAGGCTGGGGTGATGATTGGTGGAACCGTCAGTAATACTGTAGCAGCAGAGCAGAGCCAACAATAATATCATGCTAACTAAGCAAAGAAGTACTCCACACAGCAACCGCCTTGTACAGTGTAAGAACCGCTAGTCTAGGCGGCGTAGTTCCTTCGTAGTAGTAGAGATTCTTCATCTCGTCTTTAGGTGTCACGTGAGCCAAGAAGATCGTCTCGTGGTCAGGGCTGCGCCATGGTTCCGGTGTGGCTGGTCAACCCCGGGGCATAATCCTGCGCTGTTTCCAAGTAGGGGGCAACGTCATCGATCGAGACTAGCTAGAGATGATTACATGGGCTTCAATGATGGCGTGATCAACGACGTGACACTGCAACAACCATAAAGCATTGGAGTTGCAAGAAGAGGATGGGTACCCCACGAACTGATGGCTCTATTATCAACTAGAATCACTGGCAATATTATTAACCGCGCACTATTTATTTTAGCTATGCTTGCTAGACTCCACATCCCTACACATTTATTCATCCAACGCTGTCAGCTAGCTACCAGGTAGCTAGTACGTCCTGTCCAGGATATACAGGCTGAAAGCTCGCAGGTTGATTTTGACAAAAGAGTCAATAAGAAGTGGATCCACCTTCTTCCAGCCGTCTTCAATGAGATCCTTGGCATCCTGGAAGCTGCCTTCAATGCCATTGACTTTCTCAATCAGAGCCACAGCCTTTCCAATGGTTTCAATATCTTCTGGCCTCGAAGACACAATCTCCCACAGCTTGGCTCTATCCTCCTTTTCGAGCCGGCACATGGCCTTTGCCACTGGGTAGGTGACTTTTCCGGCCGTGATATCTTCTCCCTTGGTCTTCAACCCATCCGTGAAACCACGCAAGTTCAAGACATCGTCCACAATCTGAAAGGCAATACCCAAGGCTTCAAAGAAATCTCCCAGAGCATCGGATTGGGCTTTGCTTCCACCTCCAAGCTTGGCGCCAATTTTGGAAAAGAAGCTCACTGGAGCCGCAGACTTCAAACGGTGAATTGCCACGACACGTTGACGACACAAATCTCCTCCATTCTCTACGACATCGGGCATCATGTAGTCCAATCCATGAATGTCCATGGCTTGTCCACTGTGAGCTGCCCGAATGCCCTCAAAGTACATGTTGTAAATGTCGACTTTTTTCTGTGCATCACCATCACCCTCGTAAATGACCATTTGCCCCAAAAAGTAGGCCATGGTACCAGCATTAATGGCCACATCTTCTCCGTACATCAAGTGGGAGCAGGGTCCACCACGTCGAATGGTGGATCGATCTTCCACATCATCCACAATGAGAGATCCGACATGCACCAACTCGGGTAATGCCAACCAGTCTTTGACGGGTTGACTGTCTCCACCGACGACATCACAACACGCCAAGGCGGCATAGGATCTCCAGGATTTGCCTCCTCGATCCATGACGGCACGGATCGGTTCCACCAATGCCTTGGAAAACTGTTCACTATCAATGTGCTCGGTGTAGTGCGCATTGTCCTTGTGACAGACCAGCTTGTTCAAGTCGTCGCCTTCTGGATTAAAGGGCAATACTTTGCGACAAGATTTGAGTGTCTCCCGACTGACCACCTTGAAAAAGTGTTGAATGGTCATGGACTCTGGGGGACAGAATCCCTTGCGCTCTACAAATCCTTTTCCGGTAATGGTTTGTCCACGAAAGGTTCCCTTGACTTTGACGGCGCCTTCCCAGAAATGAGGATGTACATTCATGGTGGGGAATTCCTGATTGTCAAATGCCGCCTTGAGTTGCAGGTTTGTATCCCGGGATGGGACGGAAATTTCCCAATTCGTGGGATAATCGCGAAAGGTCCTCATACTGACCCACAGTTCTCCCGTTTCAATCAAATCAAAGTCGGACGGATCGAGTTGATCGACTTCACCCGTGGGTGACACCATGATTCCATAATACTTGGGTTTGTCCTTGTTTTGTGCGGCTTCGTGAACATCGTCATGCAAATACGATTTGGCCAAACACATCTGATTGCCATTGTCGAGCTGGAGACTGATCCACGTGTAGGAGGATTTGACATTGGCATCATCGGGATTGTCATTTTGGAACTCGTAGCGTCCATCTTCTGCGGCCTTGTGAGACTTTTTGGCTCCAAATTGATGATCGTACCAGCCAATGCCCTTGACTTGAAGTTCCTGCATCGTGTCCTCTTCCAATGGTTCTTGCATATCGTCATCTTCATTTTCCTCTTCTCCCAGCACAAAGTAATTTTTGCGAATCACCTTGGCATTGTATCGTTCGGGCAGGTGATCATTTTGGGGGAGACTGACGGTACCCGAAACTTCGCAATTGGGGAGGCA